TTTTTCTTTTTTTCTTTTTTCTTTTTAGTTTGTTTGTTTGTTATTATTCTCTTGTTCCCTGTCGATTTCGTTTTTGCCCGGCGTATGCGTGTGTAAAGGAATAGTTAGTGGAGGGGAGATGAAGATAAAAGGAAAAAGTGCGTCTGTGTGTCTGTGTGTGTGGAGCGGTCCTTCTGTGATATTCTCCGAGATCTTTTCTTCTTCACGATGCAAGTGAAAAGGCGACGCGGGTGTGAGTCTCATGCTGTTGCTGCCTACGGCTCCTTTCTCTCTCCATCTCTTTATATATATATATTTGTCTCTGCTTCTTCGCACCGGAGAATGTGGCGCTGTTCGTGTGCGGCCGCATTTGTGTGCGTGCGCAGTAGCCTGTAGAGCGGTGTGTGGAGGGGGAGCAGCGCGCCGCAGTGTAGAAAGTCGAGTTGGGGGAAGTCGGATGTCGTCCCTTCTTCCCTTTCAACAGAGCGCGGACTTGGGGCGTAGTGCCGAAAAAGTGGGCGAAGACGCGACGGTGCTTGCCGCCTTTCTCTACAACACAGCGACGCTTGGCACCTACCGCATCCAGGAGCACTCCCATCAGAGGGCGAAGGATGTGATTGAACAGGGAAGAAGAATCGGGCAATTGAACGCGGAGAAGTACCGCCCGCTTATGCAGGATGTGCAGTTGGCGGCCCAAATGTTGCATGAAACAGTCGAGGGAGGACGTGACGCACTGCGGCGAATGCATCTCTCCGTCGGACGACTTTTCGTGGCTGTGCCGGAGACGGAGCAACGGCCACCCCCTGGGACGTCTCGCGGCGCAGAGCCTTGGCCCCCCCTATAGCTTTGTTGTTGCTGTTGTTTACGTTTTTTTTTTTCCTGTGTGCCCCCGAAGAGAAACCTCGGGGAGCTTTTTACTAGAATTTTCTTCACCCACACCTTGTATGTTTGTTGTTGCCGTTGTTGCTGCTGTTTGTATTTTTTGGGTTGTTCTTCATTTTGTTTTTGTTTTTATTCTCCCGTCTTCGCTCACGTCTGGCTGTGCCGCGGTAGTGTTGGCAAGAGCGGGGCTTCCTCGCGGCGGGGCGTGGCGTGGCAAATGTCGCGCAGCAACGTCTTTGGCCCCGGCTCGCAGTTCTCCTTTACGAAGTTCGGGGCGCTTAACCGCAACCCCACCAACGTCGTCCTGAACCGACGTGTGAAGGACGTCTTCCGGCTGGAGAACCAGAAGCACATCCGCAGTGACGTGGACCGGGAACGGCGCTATCGGCTTTGCACCAAGTGCGGCATTACGAGTGTGACCGTCAACTTCAACGTCGTCCCCTCCGCCCGTATCGGGTTGTGGGGCCGCTGCGTCGATGACAAGGATTACACGCACCACAACTTGGTGGAACTTTCGCAGCGGGAGTACGAGGAGCTGCGTGAGCTGCCAGTAAATGAACGAATACACAGGTGGCGCTATGAGGGAGACTAATCATGCTTCTTGGGACCTCGGCGGCCGTAGGGAAGGCGCCACACGCAAGCACGACGCGTAGAGCTTTTTGCCTATCCAATCAGCTGTGAAACATGTGACAGATAAGGAATTGGGGACCTTTCAGCTTTCCGTGCTGGCTCATAGGGAGGATATTGCAGAAAGCGTTTGCCGGCTCGGTCTCCATCCAAGAACGGCAAAGCACGGCTCTCGCGAAGAAGTTTCCTGAGGCCCTGCTATTTTTCAGATGGGAAAAAGCGTAGTCCTTTCCTGCATTCTTGACAAAACGCACTTGGGACGAATGGAATTCTCAAATGTGTCTTCTGTCTTCTTGCTGCGGGTGCGGACTGGGAGCCGCAGTGACACTCGGGTTGTACGTATGCTGGCGGGCACTCTCTCTCGCTCTCTCACGCACACACACACACACAGACGGGCACTGCCTGCACCCTGCTGGTGTGGTACGCAGGCATACCTTTTTGAGGGATTGCTCCTTTTTTTGTTGCCCTTAAATGGAGCAGAGGATTACAACTGTGTATCGCCCCGTGAGGGATTGCTCGCCTCGACCGAGGACGCAAAACCCTTCCGCGTAACTGTTTGGCTATGCACTTTGCGTGACGCCGGTCAATATTACCTGCATACTTTCATAATTGTCTGAACGATTACATCCCGCTTCCCTCTTTTGCTTCTATTATTTTGCTTTTTTTTTCAATTGGTTCCTTTTCCTCTAAGAATGCGTTTACCGCTTGAAATCCAAGAGCCCCGCAGGTTCATTTTTTTTTCTTTTTGTACGGTGCTGAAGCGCAAATTCAGGCTTAGTGTGGGCTTTGCAAGACATGTCCTCGGACTTTGGGGTTGAAGCTCTTGAAGTAAGTGCCATGAGTTTATTAGAGCATTCGAGACAACTTTGGCAGAAGATTCATGCGTTACGTCAGAAGGCTGAAAACGTTGACAAGGAACTATTTACTGATGCATTGCATTGCTCTGCCAGGTGCATACTGGGAAAGCTGGAGGCGAGCCACGCCGCGGCGGACCTCTGGGGAGGGTACTTGGACTGCTTTACACTGGCGTTGGATTCTTTTGGCACAGTCTTCGCCGAAGACTTACTTTGGGAGTGTGAGGACATATTTACCGCGCTGTTGAATTTCCCTGTTGAGCCGAAAGATCTCTTCCAGGAGTATTCAAGTTGCCTCGCCATCCAGCAACGCACACGCAAGCGCACGAGCACCGATTACACAGCTCCCACTCCGCCTTGCCCGATGTTGGAGAGCATGTCGTGGGAGGTGGCCGTAGTTCCCGATATTCCCCACGACGAAGTGCGGGCCTACCTGGATTCCCTCCCGCCGAAGCTAACATTTCCCTTGCAAAGAGGCATGGTTCTTCTGTGTCTGTCTAACCCCCTACCTCTACCAGGGGCTAATTTTGTCCGCTATGGATTCAGCTGTGATACGTGCCATATCAATAATATTCAAGTGGGGTTCCAGGCCGTGATTTGCGGCAACGGCGACAAGGCGGTTGTTCGCAGCGAGGGACGCTTCTCGAATGCGGCATACCGCATCGGCTTTGATATCTGTGTGGGATGTGCCGTGTATTTCTATCGTGACGCGGTATTGCGGTTATCACACGCCATTGAGGATTGCTCGCGAACGTTTCGTGTGAGCCCCGCTGCGGATGTCAAGTTGCATTCATTTGCAAGTGAGGGAAATGTGGCGCACCTTACGGTCTCCTTTCGACCGTGGGGGGCGCGGCCCATCGTGTGGATACCAAAGCAAAAAGGGCCTAATCCACCTGCGGATTGGCGCTCGGCGGTAAGAATTGAAAGCCACCTTCGGTACGACCCCTCACTGGGGGACGGCGGCGGCTATGACTATCTTTGTAGCATTTGCCTACAGCCCTTGGCCAACGACATGGCGGTGCTGGAGACGATGTGTGGGCATTGTTTCCATGTAGATTGTGCCCAAGAAATGCTGACTATGATGGACGACAGGTGCCCAGTCTGTCGCCGAAAATATGTTTTTGGTACTTGGTTTGAGTTAGGGAACAGGTCAAACACGTACAATGTTCAGTTCGATTGTCCAGCTGACACCACTGAGTTTCTACTCACAGTGGGGGCGTTGTTGACAACGAATGGGGAGTACGATAACCCCACCAACATAGCTGCCTGTAGGACGATGCTTTTTAAAACATCCCTGCGCTATAGTTTTGGGTGCTGACTAGACGCACGGCTCCTTTTGAGGGGCTGAACGCGGCTACTACGGGGAAGTGGGAAAACACAAGAGAGAAGTGAGAGAAATAGGATACGCCTTCCGTGTTATTGTGGCCAGGCACGTGCCTTTGGTGTGCTTCTCCAGTTGTGTTCTTCTCTGAAAGACTCCGCGTCTACTGTTTCCCTTGTTATTTTTTCTTTCCTACTTTTTATCAATGTGGGTGTGTTTCTTGATGCATTCCGTGGGGAAAGTGGGAGTAGCGGGTTTTACTTTATTTCATTTTTGCTTTGTTTTGTTTTTATATATCTCTCTGAGTGTATGTGTGTTTGCATGAACGCCTACATGCCCCTCTCTTCTTGCCAATGCGTCGTCGTTCTTTGGGGATGTGCCCCATCAGCCACGTGTCGAAGCTTGAGTACGGGATGGTGAACCGACGGCGATTTTTAAACGCCTCCTCCGTCACCCCCGTGGTGGCTTCGCCTCGCCGCGGGGACCCCCGGCGGTATTGTGGGTTTCCAAACCAAGTCCAAAATAAACAATAGAGAGGTTTCTCTTGTGGGCCCGTGGCTTCCCGTCGGTGCAAATTTCTTGCAGTCTCCACGAGGATGCAGCAGGGAGTCGGACCCCCTTCTTTCTTCGCTTCTTCTGTCCTTTCCGGTTTGGCGTGGAAGCGAGCAGGGAGGCAGCGGCGGCGCTTTTTTTCCTCCACCCCCCTCCATCTGGGGTTAAATGCGCCTTCCCGATTGCACGCCGTCGTATGGAGGGGGGGGGGGGGATCCTGTCTGCTTCTTACTGACGTTTTTTTTTTTCTTCTTCGTGTGTGTGTGTGTGTCTGCCTTTGCTCGTTGGGTTTGGTCGTCCCCGCACACTTAGCAGAAGGCGCTGCAAGAAGCTGTGCCGGTCCCTGCAGTCCTATGGAATTCCCCCCCTTTGGTCCTGACTCGTCCCCAATCACGTCCACGGTTTACTCAAATTACGATGAGGCGACGACAACCGACTTGACGAGCGTGCAGTTTGACCAATTGGCGTTGACAGACGCAATGAGGAGGGGCGACGGTGGGTGCAACTACGAGGAGTTGGAGGAAAAAGCAGGGGAGGAGGCGGTGTCTGTGCCGCGTGGGGGCGCCCACGCCACGCAAGTGCCTGGCTGGAGTCCGAAGTATAACCCAAAGGAGGATGCACAGTTGTGCGCTCGCCGGGCGGACGCCACGGAGAAGAGGTGGGAGCTGCCTGCCGCTGCGGAGGCGACGCTTCGGCAGTTTGATCGCGGACTTGGCGGTGGGTCAACGAGGCCCCAGGGGGACGTTGCAGAGGAGGGGGCGGCGCAGGCGGCGGGCGCTAACGGCAAGGAGGAGCAGGAGGAGGCGGACGAAAAGGGAGCGCAGGAATTAGAAGAGGACACCCACCCCAGTTGGGGGGCCATGCAGGAAGCGGAGGACGCAGAGGCGTGCGCAAACGGAGTCGCGTCTGTTCCACCCACAAGCCAAGCTTTGGGGCGTTGTTTGTTTTCCACATGCCGCGAGCACCGTGACGAAGATGCCGTCGTGCGCCCTGTCAACGGGGTTCACGCCATGTTCTTGCAACATGCGTTGCTGGAGGGAGGGAAAGACGCCACGGCTTGCCTTCTGGAGGAGGAACATGTCGCTCGGTGCTTCTTGGAAGAGGAGGAGGTGGGCAAGCGTGGTGCACTATTGAACGCAATTCAGTGGGAGCTTAACACGCCGTGTCGTAGCAGCGCAGACGCGGTGGGAGCTGACGGGGACACCACCCCGTCGGCCGCCGCGCAGGCTTCTAGCCCTTTACTCGATGCCACGGCCGACGACAACGAGTTGTTTTTGCGAAACACACGGCTCAGCCGCATTCTGGACGATGAGACGGTCACTCCGCTGGAGAAACTCTTGCGTGGCAGCTCCCCAAACGCGCAATCCCCCCCGAAACGCGGTAGTGCGGTGATGGGTGGGGGCTACGCCGACATCTACGAGCCACCGTCCGGCACGGTGGGGACTCTGCCCGCCCAGACACCCTCAGGCGCATCCAAGGTTGGTCTGCGGGAGAAGTACGTACTACAACCGTCACCTTCGGAGGCTTCGCCCAGTCATTTGTCACCTTGGCGCTTGCTTGAAACGCAGCGACATCAGCTGGAGATGGAGCGGCTCTTGACGCAGCGTGATCGCGACAACCTGGAGCGGGCGCTAGATGCGCGTTACCAATGCATTCAGCTTCCCCCTGACACCCACGCGCAGTTGCGTTACGAGCCCTCGGACGCCTTTACGCGTGAGCGGCAACTCATTTTGGGCTCCCTTGGCATCCCTGGCCCCAAAGCGTCACCACAGGCTGATGCCGCAAAGCCACCGCAGCAGGAAGGCAAAAAGGGACACCACTACAGCCAGCAGCAGCAACAGCAACAAGAAGAACAGGACAGGCTGCAAACAGAGGCGCATAAGAGAGGGACGCCCGGCGTCGGGCTGTCGCCCATCTCGCCCCACACGCTTTTGCCTTCTCCCAGCCCTCCGAAGCTGATAGAACCGCAACCAGATCCAAAGGCGGCAACCCTCTTTGCTGAGGCGTGCGAGGCAAAATACACGGAGGGTTTGGCGGCCATGAAGGAAATACTCGGTCTCTACCAAGCGTTTATAAGGACGCAGCCACAACCAAACCCACCGCTTGCGGGATTACAGTTTCAGGCTAACAATTCTGTCGGGGGCGAAGCAACAGCGTCTTCTACTGTAACGTACGAGAGGCGTTTGGCTCGTATCAAACATCTCTATCCGTCCACTGACACCAACGCGAGTGTGATGCATCGCTACCGACGTCCCCTCTATACACCGCCCTTGCCGCCTTCGCTGGAGCCCTACAGTTTTACCGATGGTGCTAGTCGAAATTATGCGAATGCACCAGTCAAAGGGGCGGGTGTGTCGTTTCGGGCGTCTATTGGAGTTTCCAGATACATGGGAGGGAGGTACGACAGCGGGTTAGCCGAATATCATTTACCCACTTTCGGTAGGCCCGGAAAAAGTGTTGGCAGTGAGTATGATGGGAACCGTCGCACGTTGGGTACTCAGTCCTTCGATGCAGTTTTGCCGCCGCATCGTCGCATTGTAACTCCTCCAGTTTTGCCCTTTGCGGAAGAGCAATTGCCCGCTGGAGAAGTGTCCGTTAACTGGCCGCTTCTTCGCTGGGACGCAGAGCGCAGTGGAAACGTTTTTATCTCGCAGAATGGAACCACGTGCATGGCTGATGTGTCGAGTGCGCTTCAATTGATTGCCGCGGAGGAGGAGCGAAAAGGCGAGACATTTCCTTCTGCAAAAAATTCATGGTTTGCGCTTGGAACAATAGGTATTGCGGAGGGGGAGTTTATTTTTGAGGTCCGGATTGATGCACAACCTTCATCAACGCGTGCGTCGCGAGGCCTTTTTGCGGTTGGGGTAACCACTAAGTATTACCGCGGTGCACGCGAGAGAAGTCCAGCCTATTTGTTTCGCTCCGATGGCACTCTTGTGTCTCACTCTGACGCAGAAACAGGGTTTCCTTACGGCTGCCCTTACCATTCAGGCTCCCATGTTACTGTTTATTTGAGTTTAATTAAAAAAGAACTTTATTTTTTTCTCAATGGACAAGCGTTGGGCGTGGCATTCAGGTTTATAGGGGCAGAGGACCCGGAGCCTTTGTTCCCACTCGTCGTATTGGGAGGGGAAGGTGGTAGTGCAACGTTTGTTCCCCCTTCGGCGCCACAACTGCCTCACCAAATGAGTCCATCAGCGCGGCAAAACATGCGCCTTGTGAAGCCGCAGTAACTGTATTGTTATTCCTCTTCACTGCATCCCCAGTTTCTTTTTGATTGTGTTTTTCTTCTGTTGTTTATCTGTGTATGGAGTTAGAAAAGAGTTCCCTCCATCTATCCCTCTCTCTCTCTCGGTCACTCATTATTGTTATTATTATGAGTTTGCTGCCTACCTTGTTTCTTTCTCTCTGCATCGGGCGTACGTTGTGCCTAGTGGAGGCGATCTGTGGAATCGCCTCATTTGAGTTGCTCTCTGTTTTCTTCTAGTTGTAGTTAGTTTACCCCCTTTTTTTTTGCCCCCCCCCCTTTCCCTTTCATTCTGCCGCTGCTGTTCCTGACACGTCGTGGTGTTGAGCCTGCCAGATGGCGGAGCTTCACATCATTGGGGATCTGACGTGGGGGGAAAATTTTGGGAGTAGGAGTTGCTTCTGCGTCTTTGAGCTCGTCGCCGGGGAGCACTGGAGCGTCGTGGAGGGGCGCACCTCGGGCTGCACGCATGTCATGCATAGCGGTGAGGAGGGTAATGTCTTGTGGAGTTTTCCTATAGACATTCATTTTACGATGAACAGCGTAGAAGGCTGGCCAAAAATATCGTTGCAGGTGTGGTCCATTGACAAGTACGGCCGGAAGGACCTGGAGGGCTACGGCGTCGCCTTCGTGCCGCCGCCTAGCGTAGACGAGCAAGAGGTTGTGGTAGAGACATGGAGGCCGTGCTACTGGAATCCGAGCTTTTTCTCGCGCCTCTACGAGAATATTCGACTCGCCGTATTTGGCGGAAACCCGGTGCTGCGAGATAAGGCGCTGATACACACCAACGAGGAGCGGTTCAAGTTACGGACCAGAAGCAGTGGAACAGTTCTTCTTCACTTAAATGTCATTTCACGAGGCATGCAGAGGCTGGGGATTCAATGCAGCTGAGAGAGCGGCATAGTGGCTGGTAGAGCGAGAATGAGCCAGGTGAAGGGTTAACAGCTATTTTCTTCGGTGCCGTTTTGTTGTGGTTGTTGTTTGGATGGGCATTGCTTTCGCTCCAAACAAAAATAAGTAATTTATCTGAATGCTGCAATTTGCGCACCTATCGATGCTTGCATTGAGACAGTTTATTTCATATATATATATATATATGTTTGTGTGTTTTCTGTGCACTTTTTTTTTAATCGTTAGCGACAAGGACGCCAAGATTAAATGACAAGCAGCACGGCTGAGGTCCGTTCCACGTGGCGCGGCGTGCGGTTTTTCGTTAGCGCGGATGTGCTTCTGACATTCGGCAGCGTGAAGATGTCAGAGCTGGTGGGAATGCCGGGACAGCCCCAGCGGCGCATTGCCGTGATCGATGGCAAGGCCACCCCTGTGACCTCGTACCCGGCCGCATCCTTCTTTTTGAGGACGCTGAAGGCCACTGGAAATTCAGTTATTGTAGTGGCGCCGTGGAAGCCGGAGAAAACGGCATCGCTTTTGCGTTTGTTTGGATGGAGAGACGCGGTTGGCGAAGTCCGCGCCCTCTTCCCGGAGCCCGGGCAGGAGGTGTTTCGCCTGTCTTGCCTGGATTGCACGCTGGAGGAGCACCACCTCGCCGTGGTTCTGACGACGTCGCGGGCGGCGTGGCACACGGCGCTCTGGTCTCAGATTGTGGAGGTGACGCACGAGGTGAGTTGCCCTTCCCGGTCTCTCGCTCTGTTGCGAGCGCTTTCCTCCTGCCTGCGCATTGCCGAGTGCCGCGTGCGATTTCCAGCCACCGCCGTTTCCTCATGTGTTGCGCTCTGCCGGGCACGGCTTTTTTCGCAATACCGTTTCTGTCTCTCGCCGGAGGTCACGGATCAGTCGACGACTGCGATGCTGATTAACGCACACGGTGGATATTTAGTCACCAGCTACGCGGATGCGACGCACTACGTTATTGGTGAGCGGGACGACGCATTGCCTTGCGCCCCGCAAAGGACTGAGTTGTCGCGTCGGGGCGCGGCGAGGGGCGCCTCCCCGGCCTCCGCGAGCTCCAGCGCCTCCTCCCCGTCTGTGGTGGAGCTGGTCGGGGACGAGCGGGATAGCGATGGCTCGTGGAGCAGCGGCTCCAACGAGGAGGCCAACGACGCGGAGGCCTGGGAGGACGATGATAGCAACGACCACAATTCGGGGGACAACATCCAAGCCCTTGATGACGCGAAGCCGGCATCCGTGGCGGCAGCGCAAGCCACGGTAAGCGCGGGCGTTTCACCAGACCCGGCGAATTCACTCCCCGCTTTGCCCCGAGTGAACGGGCGTCAGGGGGCGGAGGCTGCCGATGCGCCAGCAGTTGCAGCGACGCCAACTCCTTCCACAACGACAACGACGACGACGACGGCGGCGGCGGCGGCAAGCACTGTCACTGTCCAGTGGTTGCAGGACTGCATAGATGGGCTCTTGGTGTACCCGCACCAAGTGGCCCACTCCAGTAACGACAGCTCACAATGGAACATTTCTACATTATTAATAGCGGCACTTATTCCTCCTCCAGACGTGGAGCCTGTTTCTTTGTCTCGTTTAAATGAAATCGCAGAGAGCCTCGGTTTTCGACCACTTCAGCTAACTCAGACGGAGGGCGAGGTGAATTTGGCAACGGTGCTTGAGAAACAGTGGGGAGCCATGCTAGATGTGAAGATGCGGGGAGAAGAACTGCTTCTGCAGCAGCCTGCCATTCCTCCTAACGAGGGTGGACTGGAAATGGAACGACATTTGGCCTTTATTGCCGATAAGTTTAGCGATGCATGGTGCACGGCTATTCGTAATAGTCAACGAAGCAAAATGACCGAGTCTGGTACACAAACGGCGGCGGTGCTCACTGCCACCTCCGAAACGAATACAGATGCTGTGCTGGTTAACGCGGAGGAGGCCACCGTGGATGCACCCGCCCAGGGTCGAACATTTCTAATGCGTGCGTTGGGCCCTGCGGAGTGGGCGAAGGAGGTTGACGCGTCGCAGGAGGCGCACAAGGGGCTGCAGGTTGCAGAGCAATCTGTTTCGCTGGATCCCTTGACTGCCTTGACACGCTTAAATGAGCCACCCACAGGATACGACACCTCACCAGAGACAAAGGAAGTGTCGGCAAGCGAAGAGGAAGAGATGCCGACGGCGCTTGCGCTGCGTGGCAGTGAAACCGAGGCGGCAGCCGCCGTGGTCGATTCTAGTACGAAACCACTGAGCGATGAAAGGGAGTTTGTGATGTGCTTCATCCCCACTGAGTTGCTTGGGGATGAACAGAAGGCGTTGGACGTGGACCTCTTGCTGCGCCAGCCGCCCTTTCGGAATTACCCGATGAAGCTCACAGTTGACAAGCGGGGCATTCATTGCCTCTTTGTCACCACCTTTGATGCGAAGCGGTTTCACCAGGAGGGCTACGCCGAGGTGCGCAATAGATTTCTTCCTATTCTGCCTGAGTACGGGGATGAGAGCCGCTCGGCAACTGATACCCGTAAGCGGCGTCGTAGTCGCTCGCCCGTCAGCAAGCGTTCGACCAGCAGCTCGTCTAGAGGAACCCGCAAGGATTCCTCCTCCTACATCCGCAGCTCTCAGTCGCATCGGGGTTCTGCTGGCGTAGAAACTTACGCAGATGGCGTGGGCAGCACGGAGTTGTCGAAGAGCGACCTCGAACTTTTGGGCGAAATTGGGACCACCGTCGAGTTTGCCCTGCAGCATGTGGATGTGTTGGAGCGCTACGCCGTGAACGACCTCGCGGACCCCGTATTCCGCAAACAGCAGCACCAGTTGCTCCGTGTGATAGATAAGCTGAAGAAGGTGCGCTAAGGTGGGAATTGAATAACGCCAAGGAAGGGAACTACTCGAGCTGAATATCAAGAGCGCTGGTGCGTGCATGTGTTTAATGCTTGCAATAGTTCAGAACGAGTGTGAGAGAGAGAAAGAGAGGGATATAATTAACAGCGGTACCTTTACAGGTATATAAACCCTATTGCGCCTTTCCGTTTATTATTATTTTTATTTTCATTGTTGTTTGTAAGGTGCTTTGAAATCCTTTTACCGGCGGACGCCATTCCACATGTCTTACTTGCTCTTTCGCGTTTCTTCTTTCCCTTCCTTTCCCCCCCGCCGGAGAACGGCGTCGCCAATGGCTTCCTTAGATGTGGACGCGAGCCCATGTCCGGAGGAGGCCAACTACGAGGTGGCTCCTTTAGATAAAGCTGCCAGTGAATGCAAAGAGGGGAAGCAGGAAGAGGAGGATGAGGAGGAGGCTGCGCCGCGTAGAGGACGCTTCACCGTCGATGAAAAGAGGGCTGGTTTGATCGTCCTGGGCTGTTTTCTCTTTCAGGAGGTTCACAGCAGCGCCCTTCGCACAATGTTGGTGGCGTCCATTGCGGCGTACGCCGTCTCAAAATACTTTGCTACCTCCCCGGTGACATCCCCTTCCTTCAAATCCGGGTGAGAGTCGGCGAGGCGGCGAGCGTCTGTGAGGGTGGGTGAACGGGGCCGTGGCGCACAGGCGACTGCGGTGTTGCCCGTAGTTGCGCTCACCATTTCGCGCGGCTTTGGCTCTTGATGCTCCTGTTTTCTCTGCCACATGTTTACATGCGTGTGTGGCGCTTGCCATTTTCCAAGTCCCGACGTCTGTGGGAGGAGGAAATGCTGGGCGCGGTGCGCGGGCGCCGAGGCGTGGATGTACATCTACCACAATAAAACGTTTTCGGAATGAGCGCCTATGCTTCCTCCTGTTTTTTTTGTTCTTGTTGTTGTTTGTGGTTCTCTTACTCTCAGCTCTGAGGCACCGCGGAGGCACAGGGGTGGTGGGGGCAGCGACAAAACAGCCTGAAAACAAACAAACAAAAAAAGAAGAAGAAACGACAGCAGCGACAGCGAGAAACACACACGCCCATGAAAACCATTGCCCTCATATCCGGCGGCAAGGACAGCCTCCTCTCCGTGCTGCTGGCGATGCGGTACGGGCACACGCCTGTCGTGTTGGCAAACATCTGCCCGACGTGCAACGAGGGACCCGAGCACGTGCACGAAATCGACTCTTATTCCTTTCAAACGGTGGGCCACGAGGCGGTGGAGTCTATCGCCGTCTGTATGGAACTGCCTCTCCGCCGTGCGTACATTCGGGCGGGCCAATCGAAGGTGCAGGGGCTTCACTACACGAAGGAGCGCGACGAGGAGGACGAGGTTGAGACGCTCTATCGTCTGCTGCGCACCGTGAAGGAGGAGTTTCCGGAGGTGGAGGGCGTGACTACGGGCGCCATTTTGTCCCACTACCAGCGTTATCGTGTGGAGGATGTCTGCGATCGTCTAGGGCTTCACTCGCTTGCGTTCCTCTGGCAGCGCCCCGCGGAGGAGGTGCTCGACATAGCCGCCGCGTTACAGTTGCACGCGATTCTGGTAAAGACGGCCTCCATTGGCCTCGACCCGAGGATTCATGTTGGGTTGTCGTTGGAAGCCGTGCGTCCTGCGCTGGAGAAGGCGCAACGGTTATACGGGACCCACAGTGCGGGCGAGGGGGGCGAATTTGAGACGATTGTCTTGGACTGCCCACTCTTCAGGGAGCAATGCCTGGAGATTGCGTCGCTTGAGCGGGTCATTGTGGATGACAACGACTATTCACCCTCCGGTTACGCGCGTCTCAAGGTGCGTCGGCGGAACAAGACAATGGAAGAAAAGAACTCAAGTAAGGAGTTGCTGCGGCGGCTTCCGAGCCTGACGTTTCCCTCGGATAGCATGCGTTACTTGCCCCACGTAGACCAGTTTCTCAAGGAGTGCGCAGAGACGCTTGAATGGAGAACGAGCCCGACGCCGTGCAGCTCGGACACTGAGTTTTGGGGCTGCAACTGCTGCGACGTCTACGAGAGTGACGCTTGCCAGCGCGAGGACGAAATGGAGTCTTGCGTCACGCGTGTCTTTCGACGAATCGTAGAGGACATGTTGGGGAAAAAACGTGAGGCTTTCTTTTTCTTGGTGCTTGCTCCCTCCTTGCAGTCCTTTGAGATTGTCTCTGAAGCGCTTGCACGTTGCTTTCCTTACCTTCAAGCGCCCGGGTGTGCTTTTGCGGAGGCGTCGGAACTAGGGCGGTTTCGTGTGGAGGTTCTTTCCTCTCTACGAGAGGGCATTCAACGGGGGACGCTGCAGGTAGGAAGCAGCAGTTGCTGCGGTCCCGTCTCTGTAGGGTCACAATCCTTTGCGAACCGTGTCAACCTCGACGCGGAGCGCCGCGTGATTGTGAGTGGATGCATCGGTTTGGTGCCTGTGGCGCGACGCCTGGCGGTGTCTGAGGACATGCCGGAGCTATTGAGTATGTCGCTTTCGCGCCTCTCGCACAGCGTGGGCCTGGAGGAGGGTGCCGTGAGGGCATTTATCGTCCAATTTGCTTTCACGTATGCAAACAGTGTTCTTGGGCTCACGCACTTTGGCGGTGAGGCCACATTTGCCACTCACGCAACTTTTTTCCTGAGCGAAATGCAGTTCGCATCGTTGGTGCCTTCCTTGTGGCGGTGGTGCACCGGCGATGCCACGAGGCTTCTGCCTTGGGGAGACCCACACGTGCGTGGCGCGGCGGGTGGCGTGGTCTGCCGCATCCTTCACGCAACACAGCTCCCGTCCTCTGCTGCGGTGGAACTTGTGCTGGAACGCCGCGAGCCTCTTTTGGAAGAGGCGTGGTAAAAGTAAACCACGCACGGAATTTTAAGGCCACGCACGCACACAACAAAACCTGCCATGGTGTGTGTATTCTGCCTTCTCTCTCACTCCTTCGTGCTAGCGCGAAGGGATGCGGAGCGATCGTCTGCAGATGAAGCGAAGGCAGGGTTATAATGATTCCAATGTGTTTTTGAGAACACAAAAAAAACACAAAAGAAGAAGAAGAACAACTACTACTAAACGATACGAATGCTTGTGGCGTACGCATATGTATACATCTAACGTATGAAGCGGTTTTTTTTTTCTGCCAGTGTTGAGGTGTTTAAATATATACATATATATATAAATTTCGTCTTGTTTTCTTCGTTGCATGCGCACACGTTAGAGGAATTGTAGATTATTCTGGTGCTAAACTGCAAAATATTGACCAAGCGGAAATGAACTATGATTATATATTTGTCTACGTGAATGGCGAGAAGATGAGTCTCCTTGAGGATGGGAGGCTCGCGTTGTACCAGCGCTTCCCCGCGGGTTCTGTGCTTTACGACCCTAGCGACCTGCCGCCCCGCGAGGTGCCTTTTTCCACGGATGCCGCGGAGTGCGGCGTGACGGCCTGTAAGTTGGTTCCCTACAGCCACTACGAGGTGTACCTCCCGGACCCCGCCACGGGTGACTTGCATGCGGTTACCGGCGAAAACGTCTGCGTCTACGTGACGAATCTTCCCCCAAACACAACTGCCGAGATGCTGGGACGCTACTTTGAGGCATTTGACATGGTTGCAGAGGCGGACGTCTTCACGACGCCGTCGGGCGCGTGCACGGGAAGAGGCTGGGTGGTTTTTCAGAACCCCTCAAAGCTGCTTTTGGTCCACCCCGTGCTGGAGTTTTTTCCGCGGGTGTTCATTTACACCTCCCTCAGCGACAAGATTCCTCCGCGGACGATACTTCAACACCCTTCTGCCGCAGGGATGCTGCACCCTCGCGCCGACATCGCCCCTGTCGCCGAAGCGACGCTCAGCCATACTCGCGGCGGCAACCATAGGACGGGGAATGGCAAGGCATCTGGCAACGTACCCAAGCCGCCAGCTGCACTAGCTGCGGCTGTGGTAAATGCAAGCGCCTACTATTTCGTTGCCTTTATTCGAAGGGATGACATTGCGAAATCCGTGGAGGAAGGCGTCTTCCGGACGAATCCAGAGAATCGACGGGCCTTTTACTCAACACTAGAGCGAGGAACTGTGATTATTATATTTGTGCTGCAGGAGTACCCGGCCATATTTGGCTATGCGTTGTTGCTTCCCAGTGGAAGCAACAACACAAGTGGCCCATCGGCTTGTCCCATAGAATGGATTAAACATCATGTGTTTCTGAAGGAGCAGGACATGAGAGGGATTCCAAGTATTCCAATTTCCAAAATGGGCGATGGTGTACCTTTGAAACCAGAGATAGGTGAAGGCATATGCCAATTAGCAGAGCAGCACCCATCCCTCCCCGCCGTGCCTGAACAATTGGGTCAACCACCGCCCAAAAACGGCCGGTTTTTGGGGCGGGGCGGCGGCGTTGTCGGTCTTGGTGGCAACAACGCGGAATTTGCTGGCTTTAACGCTGTAGGCGGCGGGGGCGTCGTTCGTCCAGTCGGCGATAGGGGACCATTACTGTCGGGCGTTGGCGTAACGTCGCCGCCCCAACCACTGGGAACACGTCCGCCCGCAAGAGGCGGTCATGCGATGAATGGCAGGATTCCCCCGCGACGACGCCCATACAGTGACCATCCCAACGCCTACTCAGGCCACAGCTTCCGCGGCGACACACCACCGCCGCGTAAGCTGTAGTTTCGCAAAAAGATTTTATTCGTGTGAGTAGCACTACAAGGTGGCTTGTTGGGCGGCCACACTCTCTATGATTGTTCTTGTTAAGCGCCAACAACAGCGGAGGGGGGAGGGAGGAAAGAAAAGGAAGGCCGCGAAAAAGAAAAGGAAATTGGAGTATAGGAATAAGCCCCAAGGTGCTTTTTGCGTCTTGTGTGTTTAGCTGGAGTAGAGGGAATGCGGCGATGGGTGACGTTTGCTTGGCTTGCCCATTTTTTTTTTGTTCCTCATACCTTTTCCGCGCTCCGCCCACTTCCGTGGCGAGGAGCAACGTGGTCTGCATTCCCTTTTTACTCCTTTAACCATTGAATTCTCACACAGTTTTGTGCATATATATCTATATAGATATGAAAATATATACCTATATATAGATGTAGTACATATGTTTATATACCTGTGTTATTTGTAAGGTTCTTTTTTTTCTGAGTGTTTTCTTGCTGCCGTGGCAGATGGAAAATATGAATGAGTTCTGGTTTTTCATTTTTGATTTGCGGACTTCTCTGCCTCCCCCCTTCTACCCTGCTTTTATTTTCCTCTTTTTTTTTTCTTGCCCCCTCACTCCTCTCGGTTCCTCGTGGAGGACTCGGCGGCGCGGATATATACCCTGCATTTGTTGAAGGCCTCTTTTTTTTTCTTTGTTTTGGGTTTCCCGGTCAGTTGCGTGGCATCCCGTTTCGTTGCTGTGCACACATGTGGGGCTCCAATTCGGCGGCGAGGGCGGAGGGGTCGACTTTGTCGCCTGAGGACGCGCGGTCGCATCGTGCGCACCCCGCCACCCGCGGCGGCGGCGAGTACCGCCACAGTTCTTCATCTGGCGACTTTAGCCACATCCTGAGTGCCGCCCACATCAACTTCAGCCATGCGAACCCCGAGGCATCCTCCAGCACCGCGACGGGGAAGATGCGGGGGCTGCCCTCGCCCGCTGTTGACTACTTCACACACGGCCTCAACGCGCCCAACGTGGGCTGCCCAAGTTGTGCGCAGTTTGATGACATTCGGGAGTCCTTAAAGAGTGTGGAGGCGTCGTACTTGGGGGAAATTGCTCAGCTGCGGCGAATGGTGGAACAGGCGGACGCGGAACGCGTGGACTCGGTAAATCGACTGGAGCAGACACTTTTGGATCTCGACCGCAGTAGGCAACTGAATCTATCCAGGGATTGCGAGATCCAGTTGCTGAGTGGCCAGCTGCGACAAGTGAAGGATGGGTCGCAACGCCTGGAGTACGAGTTGGCCTCCCTGCGCCAACTGTACATGAGTGACGTCGCGCTCTACCAACAAAGAGAGGTGGACTTTTTCCTGGAGAGTGAGCGGCGTGCCAGGGTGGCAGTCGCCCTCACAGAGGAGGGCTGGCGGTCTGCAGTTGAGGCAAGGTGCTCCAGTGCTGTCGAGGTGGGTCGGCGGCGGCGTTGCTCCCACCCATCGCAGAGCGTTGGGGCGCTGTGTTCGCCCCGTGTGAGTAATGGACTCTCTTCCATGCGTGACCGTCCTTCAACATCTTCAGCCCCCCCTCTCAAGCTCTCCATCACCCGCCACGTTGGGAAACATGGAGGTGGAGGAGGAGGAGGTTGGGGTAGCGGCATAACGCCTGGCGGAAAAGGGGGACTTTTGACGGAGCTGCGGCAGTCCAATAATACCTTGACTGAACTCAATAATAAACTGCAGCGCGAGCTGGGGGTGAAGGAGGATCAAATTGCCTTACTGCGGCAGCAGCTCCCTCTCCAAGCCGAAGGCCCGGCGCGGCCCCGTCAGCAAGGCGTTGATGAGGACAGTCTTGAGCGGGAAATGCAGGAGAAGATTGAGGAAATGTACCTGGACGAGATTTTCTTGGCACAAACGTGTGAGCGACACCGTTTGGAGGCGGAGGCGATGGAAGAACGCGTTCATTTGCTGCACTGGCTTCAGCAGCAGCTACATGGCGAGCCACCGCGAAAGCAACTTGTTGAGTCCGCTCAACGAACACCAGAAGAAGAGGAGCCACCAGAACCGCGCCTGAGGCGAAGGTTTGGTTATTATTTGGGTGGGGGTGCATCGATGTATGAAGTTCTTTGCAAGATGCTCGAGCAGCAGCAACGTGATATGCGCGTATTTCTTTTCGAAGAGGTGCCAGGGACGCTACAGGGCGCCCTCCGTGAACAACTCCCTGGGTTTAAACAATCTGTGGAGTCCCATTACTTGGGTGAGGGCGGACTACGCAGCAACCTCGGAAAAGTTGCACAAACGCCGCGACGGGACGAGCACGGCAATGTGCTGCCTGCCGCGAGGACAGATGAGAGCCGCGGAAAAAATGTTGTATATATTCAAGGCGTTCCGCAACAGTTTTGCGCGGCAAATCCACCGCAAGCAAGTGGTGGGCTCGCCTTCCTCTACGACGCTGTAAAAAAGATGTTGCGGTCGATGTCTCGCAACGCCAATGTCATGTGTGGCAAGCTGAACGATATTATTGTCTCGAATTCCGCGGTGGCCAGGCAGCTCACGTTGCTGACCATCCCATCTGCTCAGAGGCGCGCTGCTGCGTCCCCGAGTCGGAAGTGTTCGGCCACTGCGTCGCCGTCCGTGGCGGACACCAGATTCTTGGACGCAAGCACACAGACTTCTTCGGGTTCAAAGCAATTTCATTTTGAGCTCGATAACTTTGATGCCGCGCCTCCGCCTGGGAATGCGGCTGCCAATGCGCCGGTTGCCTCACCGATGCCGCCATCTCATGAGTGGGACGTCATGGACTCTGGCGATGAATCCATTCCTCCGCTGCCTCTTTCCTCCACTGAACGGAAGGCGCCTTACGATGTGGATGATTTCTGAGAAACGAGAGGGAGGGTGGGGGAAGGGTGGCACGCCCGCTTATGCCCCTTGTTCAGACTATTTATTACTATTAATTTTCTTGGCTGTTGCGGTTTCTCTCTTTCTTTCCTTCTCTTTTTATTTTATTTTATTTATTTTTTTTTGTGAATCCTTAGCATTGCATAGAGTGACGCCTTTTGCATCGAATTCCTTTTTGTGTGTCGCATAGATATGAAATCCAGCGAGATGTGCGGGATGGCAAGTGCATACCTTTTTTTTTTCTATTGTAGGGCCAACTTGATGCGTTTCGTTGAATGCGACGCGGAACATTTTTTTTTTGCACATTTCTATCGATTGCTGGATCTAGAGAAGAATACAGTGTTCCATTTATCTGTATTTATAATTTGTAATTTATCCATGTGCGTGCATTACAGCGTTTTTCTTTTAGCCTTTCTGTGTGCGTGTGTGTATTTGGCCAGAGTCTCTTTTCACCGTCTCCCTCATTTATTTTGTTGCACCATGCGGTATGACGCCTTGTATCCTTCGTTTCTCGTTTGTTCCTTTGCCAATGCATTTTTTCCTTCTTCCCGCCATAAACTTCCTTTTCGTTTGAAGAGGGAGGAAAAGAGTTGTTGTTGTTGTTGTTTTTTAATCTGGAGGGAAGGCGCGGACCGTGCGGCGATGCTTGTTGGCAGCAAGCGAGCGAGGGAGGAGGGCGACGACGCGTTGGCGGGGGAGGTTTCCGCTGCAATTCAGAGCATGGCGGCGGAGACGGAGGAGATTGTGGGCAGCGTGGGGAAGCTGAATGGCGCGGTGTTGGAGTCCCTGCTGCAGCGCTCCCGGCAGGTGGAGGATGCGCTGAGCGCCGCCGGTGGGTCTGTCGTGGGGCTGTGGAAGTTGGTCGTGCAGAGCCAGCGGGGCAGAGCCGCCAGCGCACTGAGCCACATCGCCGTCGCCGATGACGTACGTCGAAAGGGCCACTGCATTGCCGCGCTTCAGCGGCAGCTTCTGACCTCCGCCTCCCTGGCCGCGGAGGAGGTGTCGAGTGAGCTGCGGAGGGCCCAGGCAGCAACGGTCACCTTGTTCGCATCCCAGCTAGCGGGGGAACAGGAAACAAACGAGAAACTCGTTTTGCGCGTGCGAGAGTTCCTGCAGGACGCACTTGAGTCCATTCAGTCGCACTCTCGTCGCGCAACGGAGGCGGAGCTCGCACTGTTCAAGCAGGGCGTTTCCGTCGCCCGTCTCCAAAGCCTCCTTTCCTTCTACCAAAGGGCTGCGCTGCGCCACCACGAGGAGGTCATGGCGCTCATCAAAATTGTTCGCATCCTTGCCGCGAAGAGCAAAGACGTGGATCTCGCCGAAACGAAGCTGCGTCAGTCCAAGACCCACGTGAGGTTGTTGGAGAAGCGCCTGGAGCTTGCGGGAATCGTTCAGGCAATTGTGCCACCCAACTTTGTGCCTCCTCGTCAGGCCACGGAGCCACCGAATGAGGCGTTGCGACGGACCGCGCCCGAGTACTTCGCCCTTCGCCTTTTGGAGCATAAAGATGTGACCCTCTCAGAGCTCGTGGACTCCTGGCAGAAGCAGGAGGCACGCATCGTGGCGGCCGAAGAGAGGTATCGAAGCTTGAAGTTATCCGTGGAGTCGCTTCGGCGGGAGGCTCTGACGGTGCACCAGGGCTTCCTTGAAGAGAAGCGACGGCGGGAACTGGTGGAACAGCGCTTGGTTGATCTTGTGCGTGAGCGGATTCGTCCAAGCCGAAACGATGCTCTCGTGCAACAACTCACTCTTCTGCGAGCAGATCACACAAAGGCACTCGATGACTTGGCTCAAATGGCCACTTCGCTCAGTGTTACGCGGGAACAGTTGACTTTAGAACAGCAACGAAATATGTCACTTGAGGCGAAGGTGCAGCAGATGCAGGATGATTCGGCGAACGACGAGGTGGCGCACACCTTGGCTTCGCTTCGCCACTATTACGAGGGGGAACTTAACAGTTTAAGAAACGGACTGGTGGACGCCGACACACAGAGCGCTGTTGCAGCGGCGTGTGCGGAAATGCAGCAGAAGGCCTCGGAGACCGCACAGAGCGCATTGCTGGTGACCGAGCAGACCGTCATGGACATGTCTGCCACGCTACAACGTGTAGAAAGTCAGCTGTGCGTTGAACAACCACAGGGTGACAGTGCGGTGTCGGGGCGGGTCGTGCAAAATGCCGAGAAGGTACTGACACAGAGCGAGGCACAGTTAAACCAGGCAATGTCAGCCTTTGAAAGGGTGATGAAAGAGTCAGAGATTCGACAAGCGAAGGACATGTCAGTTTTTGAGCAACAGGTGAAGAGGTTACTGGAGTCGATGCAGTCACTCGTTCCCGCGGTGTCGCCTGGGGAGCCCGCCGCGGACCAGGACACGGCAACGGTGGTGCAGCGGCGAGAGGCCCAATCGATGATGCGAGGCGCAGTAGCACATGCGCTGCAATTTGTTTCTGATACTTTGGTCACAAACGAAATAGGCAAGCGAACTCTCCTGGACACGTCTATTTCGGATGCCCATCAGATCAGTCTGTTGCTGGAGAAGGTGCGGCAACTCACGGCGGAGCGCGATGCGGCCCTGGAGCGGCTGGCGCGGTGTGAGCGACTCATTGATCAGCACAGCCTGACCACCGTGGAACGAGTCTTGATGCACGAAGTATCCGTTGAAGAATCGATAGATGCCATGGAGGCGGCGGAGCAGATTGCCACCTTGCGCAGAGAGGTGTCTTCACTTGAGGCCACGCGTACTGCTGCCCTCGCTGAGGTGAAGGAGCTACGGAACGAATTGAAGGAGGACAGCCACGGGACGGAATCCGCCGTGGCGCGGCTCACACTGCTTGAACGTCATAACAATCGACTGATGAAAACCGTTGAGGAATGCTTGGCGCGTGAGGTGGTCCTTGTTGAGCAGGTACACCAACTCCAGCAGAATCTGCAAAACTGGGGCACCGTCGAGCCCCCGGTAGTGGCAGAAACGGGGGAGTCAAAGACTGCGGCGGAAACGGAGCGGTTTGTGCCGTTGCTGCAGCAACTAGAACAACTATCTGGGGGCATTGGCGAGATGAAGGAGCAGCTGTCGGAGGTACAAAGAGCCGTAATTTCTGCCTCCCGCGAAGCTGAGGACGGCGAGGAGGAGACGCAGCTCCTGCGCAGGGGCGTGCGGCAGGTGGCCGACGCGCTGCGGGAGGCACTCCAGCACGCGGAGTTGTTCCGCCACGCCCTCCCAGCGGAGGCAGCTGAAGCGGCACCGAGCGATGCTGAGCCTAATAGGGAAGAGGAGCTTGCGGAGCTGGAGCGACAGCTGGCAGAGGCTCGCAGCGCGCACGCCTCGGAACTGAGTGCGTGTGAGGAGGAGTTGTCCAGGCTCCGCGCCGAGCTCGAGACCCACAAGCAAATTGGGGAAACACTGAGGAACCATGAGAAGGACCTGCAGGAGCAGAAGGAGGACTTGCAACAGAAGGTCGGTAGGCTGTTGCAAATCAATAAGCAGCTTCTGGAGGAGGTGAAGTCCACGCGAACTGCTTCCACTACAAGCGCTGCCGAGGCGCCGTCGGCTTAACGAGGCATGTCGGCGGGTGAAAGGAAGGGGCCCTAGCAACAAGAAGAAGTGCCAAGGCGCCGAAATAAGCGAGGGAGCAGGGCGCAGTCTTGCAGTCTCTTGCGGGGTGGGGCTGGGTGAGGGGATGCTGCTGTTCTTCTTCCCCAACCCTGTGTGTTAGGCCTTCTCTGCTTCTCTTTGAATGCTGTGTGGTTTGCCAGAAGCTTCAATTCGGTTTCTCTTGTAAATATGAAGCGTTGCTGTTTTTCTTTTCGTCTTTTTTTCACCCCTCGCATTGTCGATAGTTGTCTTGGAAGGAGACGCTGCCCACCCATTCCCTTCGCACCCCCCGCGCCCATGAGCGACCGGAAGCCAAATGTGAAGTTCGCGGACATTAGCGAGGATATGCAGAATGACGCCCTGATCGTGGCGGCAAAAGCCATTAAGGAGCACCAGATGGAAAAGGACATTGCCGCTCACATAAAAAAGGAGTTTGATAAGCGCTACAACCCCACGTGGCAGTGTATAGCTGGTCGAAACTTTGCTGCCGATGTTGTGCACGAGAGTAAGCACTTTATTTACTTTTACGTTGGCCAGATTTCAATTCTGTTGTGGAAGACGGGCTGAGGTGCGGGTGTGCCGCACATGTAGAGGTTGCATCATTGGCACAATGATGTTGATGATTATTTTTTTTTCCCCCACTGACCGCCATAAACGGCGTTATGCGTGGTTTCTTCCCTATTCACCCCGGTTGTTTCTGCGATGATTTCAATGCTGAGCGTATTTTTGCCAGCGGCAGTAATGGTTTGTCTCTCATCTCCTGTTTTGTGGGGATTTCGTCTAGTTTTTCCCATGGGTGATGGTGCGTCAAGTGATGGCCACGCAACCCCGAGAAGTAGTTTGAGGGTTTAAATCTTCTGGCGGGTTTGAACCCGGCTGCTGGCGTTTCCAGCCTCCTGCACTTTGGCAACGTTCCGAAAAATGTGCGGGGAGGGAGAAATTGCCGCTGGTGATGCTTCTGACAGCCGCTCCTGCCCTGTTGACGCCCAACGTCTCCAAGTGCCGGTGTGCCACAGCCGCCGTCGCGGCTGCATCCTCGTCGCTTCTCATTGGTGATGTGCTGGTGATAGAAAATACTGCCGCCTCTTCTCGAGCGTCGCTTCGCCTGCCTCTCCTGCGGCGGTGGTGAACTACGGGTCATCGCTACGCGACAGTTGCGGTGTTTTTTTTTTCGTTTTGCTTTGCACCCCTTTCAGGCTTTTTAGTTTGTTTCTGCGCATTTGACGTGGGAGTTGTGTGTCTGCCCGCCCCACGCTTGTGCGCCGAAGCCAAAAAAAAAAGACAATAATAATGGAGAATAATGATACTGCTGCGGTTGTGCCTCAACGCTTTCCTTTTCCATTCCTCTCCCCACTTTTTTTTTCTTTTTGTCCTTTGCGGGATCGGAGGAGAGGCTGCTGGATGCTGGTGGCGGTGCGGGAGTATCGGCGGGAGGAGGTTCAGCGCATATGCGGGGCACCGGCGGAGGCACTGGTCTCGTACTACACGCTTCTCCGCAACAAGAATGAGGCAGTCATGGCGGATGTCACGGATGTCCGGGCGAGAAAAAACATGAATTTTGACTACTACGCGACCTCCGCCGGGGACCTCTTTGCGGAGGCTGTGATGCCCATCCTGCGTGCCCTCTTGCCCCCCGTTTCTGTGCCACAGGTGGCGGTTGTGGCGGACGGGGCGGAGACGACGCGCTTCCACGCCTTGCTTGACCCGGAAGAGGGACTTGTGCCACTCTGCTGGCGGGTGCTGACGGGGACGGTGGAGTTTGGAGACCTGCTCGAGGCAGTCTACCTCGCCGTTGTGGAACTGGACGACGGCAATCGCCTGCGGGACCTGACGCCCGGGGGCCCCGCGGAGGCGGAGCCGATCATCATAGAGGACGCTGACGACCACTTCACCGCCGTGGAAGACGCGTGCTACGTCGAGCTTCGGACAGAGGCCGATGTTGCGCGACTACTGCAACATGCGCGCCGGGTAGCGGTGCCGGAGCGGCATCAAGTTTTTAGCTTCATCCTCTCCTACACGGAGGCATCAGGGCTGCCGAACTCCACCATTCAGTTCGTCGCGCTGTCCGTGTCTGAAATGACGCGGGGCATGCGGTCGACGCGGCACTGCATCACCACGGCGGCGTCGCTTATAGAGAGCCGGTCTCCGTCCATGACGTTTTCAGGGACGAAACTCTCCTTTCTGCTTAAACCGGCTCTTTTTTGCCAACAACCGGGTTTGTGGATTTCTTGTTTTGCCCCAAATAGCGTCTCAGCGCTTCCACGGCGAGAAACTTTTAAGGAGGCCTTCTGCATTGCACACACACTCTCTCGTGTGTACAGCTCACGCGTTGGTCTGGGCCTCAGTGAGGCCTATCACCGCAGAAGCGGTAGGGACAGGCAGTATTCGCATGGAGTCGGTGAGGAGCAGGTGGAGATACAACCCCGCACGGAGGTCCCGAAGCCGAGCTCGTTGAGCTGCTTGGAGAAGCCGAGGGGGAGCTTGAAGGGAGCTGTCTCGTCAATATCGCGCCCGTCCGAATCTGGGTCACTGCTGTCCTCGCAGGCCGCGTCGCCGTTCGCGCCCAACGTGTCCCAGCCCCACGACGGGCACCATGTAAACGGTTCCTCCCATCGAATTGTTGAGGACGAGGTGTCCCCGGCCGTGGCGACGCGGGAGGTGCCAATGGGGCTTCTTGTCACACCCTCTGGGCAGAGAAGTAAACCACTCGACGAAAAGAAAACACTACCGGAAAAACGCGGGGAGCGCATAGACGGTGGTCGGCGGTCGTTGAGCCGTCCATCGCACGACCGGTGCAGTTCAGTGGAGAGGCATCCATACAACTGTAGTGCACGATATGAGTTAGAGACGTACAAGCGGGTGATGGAGCCGGCAATGGAGCAGCTGCGCAGAGACGCTCAGCACTACGTGACCTTGCTGAAGGACGCGAGGCGGCAGATTAGGCAGTTGAAGCGTGCCAACAGCGAGGAGAATGGGGTAGAACAGTTACGGGCCTCCCTCGTAGCAGCCAGGCGAGAGCGCGAGATGCTGGAGGCGGATTTCGCCAAACGTGAAGAGCTGTTGCAAGCAAGGGTGGATGAGCTTGAGTCTCGGTGCGAAGGCCTCTGCAGGGAGTCGCAGCAGCGGGAGTTGCATGCCGTACCCGGGCGAGAAAAGTTACGGCAAGCGAGTGTTGCAACCCAGACACGCAACACAGTGCCTCATTTTGCTTCACCACCGTCGTCGCCGTCGCCTGCGGCGGCACCAGCGGCGGCACCGTTGCCGCTGGAGGAGGGGTTAGTTGCGTCCCAGACTCTACAACAGGACTCTGCAGGAAACGATATACAGCGTGCATCGCAGTGGCTTGAAGTTATCAGTTATCATCAGCGGGAATTGGAGGATTATGCGGAGCGTGAACGTTCTTACCGCAGCCGCATCCTCCTTTTGGAACAGACGCTTGCCGAACGTGTGTCTGAGGCGGAAGAGGCAAAGAAAGAGTTAATGCGACGAGAACACGAACTCTCTCTAGAGGCAGTGAAGAGCCAACAACGAGAGCACGAGCGGAAAATGGAGCGAAGTTATTTGGAGGATGTGGAAGGTTTGCGTGCGGAAGTGGCTGAGGCGAATAGGGCCAGTTCAAAGGCGGAGCATCAGCTTGAAAAGTGTCTTCTTGAGTTGGAACAGGAGCGGAAGCAACGAGAGGCCTCAGAGGCGGCGCTGCGACGTCTGCAGGAGAAATCTGCTCAACATATGGAGAGTGGGGGGGCGAAGGAGATGGTGCAGATGCTGAAGGAGAGCTACGAGCGCCATGTTCAGCACCTTCAACGGGAAGTAGAGGAGCTGCGGGCATCGACCCGTCACGCGGCTGCAAATGAGGCGATTCCTCGAGAAAATGCCTCCACAACATCTACGCCTTTGCACCGGACACAAGGGCGTCCAGGTGGCGGTATGGTCTCTCCCACAGTTGAGGCGATGCACGATAAACCTGTGTTTTCCTCTAGGCATTCGCTGCGGGAGGAAACACGTACCACCAGCGCTGACCCTCCCACGCAGTTCCAATCCCAATCCATCTCTGTTCGAGGTGAAGTAAGAAAATTTGAGGACTTTATGAAGGAGGAGCCGTCATACACTTTCCGTTTGCCAAAGGCACTTGGCCGCACCCACTCTTCGTGACCGCGTGAAGGAAGCACGTGAAGAGGAGCCCTGGATGGATAGAGGGCACTCCACCAACTCTCTTGATGTCTCCCACTCCCCCCTCCCCCCTCACTACTTCAGCGTGTACTATATATATATATTACCGGAGTAACAGGCAGTGTGATACGCCCCCTGTGACGTGTTTTGTCCATACAGTTCTTTGAGAGCAACTTGTGAACCCTGCAGAGTGTCTGAGATCTTATTTTATCCCAACTCCTTATTGACTCTCTTTTGTGCTTTTACTTTCCTTCAATAATTTTTTTGCCATCGGCCCAGTAGTCATGAAGCGGCGTCGTTACGACAGCGACGACGACGACGATGACGGCGACCTGGACGGGCCGCTGCTTCCGTACGCGTTGGACGACAGAAATGAATTTCTGATGGCGATGGGCGTGGGCGGGCAGGAGCCCAGCGAGGCGAGTGCCAAGGGTTCAGAAGGAGAGAAGCATCTGCGGGGAGACTGCACAGAGAAGGAAGACCAAGAGACAATGCGGCGAGAAGAGCAGATAGAGTCCGCTTTGCCTTCTTCAACGCTCGCTGAACGATTGCAACACATGGCGCTTCGTGACGATCATGACATCCCGGAGCATTGGAGGGGCGTGCTCTCCGAGAACCTGCTGCAAGTCTACTTCACGACGCTGAGTTACGCAGAGACGAAGCGCACGGTGGATGATAAGCTGTTCTCTCAGTACACCCCTTACGATGTGAAGCGATACCCACCGCTTGGGCGTCCCTCTGAACGAGTGTGGGAGAATGCGTTTGGCATCAAGCCCGGTTGGCGCTGGGACGGTGTGGTTCGTGGTGTTGGAACGTTGTAATGCGTGTTCCCTCCAACTCTCTTCTGTTGTTGACCGCATGTGTGAGGCACTTGCCAGCCGTGTGAACCTGTTCCCTCCCGCAATGAGACTGTGTGTGGTGCCGGGGCGGGGGGATGTAAAGAATCATAAATCTTTCTTTCCCAGAGGTGGGAACATAAAATAAAATTAAAAAATGCAACCAAAAGACTTCTTTTTGTTTTGCCTTTTTTGTTGTTTCCTTTGGCTGCGGGGCGTAAGAGGTGATGGATGGTTTGAGGCCTAGCATTTACTCTCGCGAGGACGAGAGACGCATGTCGGAATTGCAGGGGCGGGTGAACTGTGGCGAGTCGCTTTCCGAGGAGGAGGCTCTTGAGCTGGCTCAGCTTAAGGGCCTCTACGACGATTTCATTCACGAGGGGGAGCGACGATTGCGGCTGCAGGGCGAACCAGCAGCGGACGGGGCCGCAGAGACTGACAGCCCGGGCGATATGCTTCTCACCCTGCAGGAGACCGTGACCTCCGCCGGGAAGGCGGCGTACTTTTGGGGATCGCTTGTGGCCACTCTTGTGCCAGGCTATTTTGGACGCAAGGTGGGCCTTACCTCGGGGTTTTTGCACTGGAATTTTATCACAGATCGGCTACTTCTCGGCGCTCTCCCCGTGGTTACGAAGCTTGGCAGCAGCGGCAACCACTTGGTGCAGATACGGGAACAGTTGGAGTCTCGAAACCAGAAACTAGGCCTCGTCATCGCATGCCTGGAGGAGGCGGAGGTGAATGGGTTTGGGGTCCAGATGATCAGTTTTGCCGATGAGTCGAGCTGGCATGCGTATGTTAGTCCCACCGTGCAGTATATTCGGCTGCCGATGCCCGACACCACCGCCAATATCTCTTTTGATAGTGTTTGGTTTGCTGTGCAGCAAATACACAAATGCATCGACGAACGAAACTGCGTAGTGTATCTGCATTGCAAGGCCGGAAAGGGGCGCAGCTGGATGGTGGCAATGTGCTATCTGACCTCCTACGGAGGGATGACGTTTGACGACGCGGAGCAATTGATTCGCCTCTCCCGGTCGCAAATAAACCCATCAGCGGCGCAGCGGGCTTTTGCGGCCAAGTTTGCTGCCCGCATACCGATGCAAAGAAAGTAAGGTGCGCGGTGGGTCGCGCCTGCGTTGTCCAACCGCGGCGACGTAGTGTTTGCCTGTATGCATCTATGTGTTGAATATATATATATATGTGAAAACAGAAAAGAACGCACACATGCGGAGAGAAGAAAAAAAAAACAAGCAACATATGATGTGATATTTTTCCATCATCACACTTTCGTCCGGAACGGGATGTGATGTTCTCCTTGAGTTGTGGTTTGTATTCTTTTGCAGTACAAACACGCGAAAAGTGAAAAACTTTGCGAAATTAAAAATGTCCATGGTGAACGAAAAGTATTTTGTGGCCTCAACGGAGGCCATTATCCTTGTTGTTGTTATTATTTGTGTGTTTACTTTGCTTCTTTTTTTTTTCTATGTGCCGTTGTTGTTGTGCTGGTGGCGGGCTCCATAGTTGTTGAGGTTGACACTGTCATTCCTGGCCCCTCCCGGCGTCTCTGGTGTGTGTGTCTCTCATTCTCTCATTGCGTGCGTGTGTGTGTGTGTGTCTCCTGGTTGCGTGCGATTCTGCTTTTCTGTTGCGCTTGTTCTCCGTGTTGCAGCTCATTTTCACCGGCGTCGATGAGCCTCTCTCTAGGGGAGACAAGCGATGCGATCGCCGCGCTCGCAGAGGGCTGCACTTTGGACGAGCTAGCGGAGCTCGCAGCGCGGTGTGAGTCACATTTGGCCAACGTTGAGGCGATCATGGACGCCACGGAAAATGCCCTGCGCACCTCTCAAGGACCCCGGCGTCTTGTTTTGTGGTTCTTCATCGATCGACTGGCAAAACAGCACGACATTTTTTTGGACGCGCTTCGGCCGCGCCTGCGAGGCCTTGCAGCGACGGCGGCCCCGGCGGCGGGAACGGCAGAGTGGGACGACTTCAAGGCACTTTTGAAGTCCTCCATTGCGGTGGTGTTCGGCGCCCCGCTGGTGTCACTGATTCTCCTGGAGATTGACCCCGACACGCAGAAGGAAACCGCCCGCACCGCCGCCGCCTCTGAGCGGAGCCAGGGTGTCCTCACACTGCACAGCAACGCCCTGCGGACCACCGGTGCTTTCTCGACGAAGTCTGTCAAAACGCAGCGACCGGCGGCGGTGAAGCACACACTGCAGGTAAAAACCATTGACAGCCAGATGGCAATGAACATGGCGAGCAGCTACGCCCCCGCCCGGCCACAGGAGATTGCGGTCCCGGAGATTCGCCCTGATGCTGACGCCCCGCACGGTTATGTGAAAGCACTGCCCTCGGATTACTTGAAAAGCTACGAGAATACTAGACGCAAGCGTCTCCGTGAGGTGATGGAGCGCAATCGCGAGGAAATGGATCGCCGCCAGGAAGATGAGCTGCTTCAACGGGTGCGGGGAACAGCCATTCAAAATGGAAAGATTCCTGACTATTCAGATGTGGTTATGCCGTTGGAGTTGCCTCGTGACGAGCATGGCGTGAAACGGGGATTTTTCCCACTTGGTGTGCGTTTTATTCGTGAGGCGATTCGAAGCTGTGGTGGGGCAGTGGAATTGGATGTGCTGGTAAGCCGTCTTTCAACGCTAGCGAGCAGAGAGACCGTGGCGGAGTTTGGAGACGTGCGTGAATTTCTACTCATTCACCGACCGACGTTTCGTGTAACTAATGAAAAGAGCCGCTGGATCGTTCGTCTCGCCGGGGACGAAACTAGTGATCCCACGTGGGAGTCGTTGCAGTGCCCGTTGTGCTCAAAAGTGATGCGTGGGCGCAACCTCGCACGTCACATGGGCTGCAGGCAGTGTGTTACAACCCAAATTGCCCTGGGACTTCATGGAGAGGTGCATGGCCCTATTTCTGAGCTCGCGTTTGTCGCCAAGTCCATCATTGACCGGGCAGGCACGTACGATGACTGGGATTTGGAGTGTTTTGCCGACTGCGTAGAGAGAGCTGCAAATTGTAGGCGTTTCAAACTTTCCTCGCAGGCGAAATTCGCCCCCATGCTGAAGGCACTGCGTGTTGTTCGCAACCGCTGGCTGACGCGGAAGGGGGTGGCGGATGTCGCGGACGCCGTTGTGGACCCCGGCGACACGGCTGTTGCGAATCTCTTTCGAGCCATTGGACGAAACGTGAACCGCCTGCCCATTCCTTGGCTGGAGATGGGCGACGTGGTCGACATGTGCCGCCGGTTTTCGGATTCGGTGTTGCCTCCCTTCAATCCCCCGCCGCGGCCCGCCGACCCCCGCATCAGCCTGCACAACGAGTACCCGGGATTCCTCCTCTGCGAGAGTGAGGTGGACGACGAGGACGACCCCAGCGACGATGAGGACGCATTCTCCGACGATGAGGCGCCCACCTTTGTCTTTGCGCCGCCGGTAGAATTGGCCGAAACACTTTTCACGGCAGGCTTTGAACGGGATACCAAGCGGCTGCAACATCGCATGCGTACCGCCCCGCCGCTGGTGCTACAACGTGTGCTGAGGGGAGATCGCTCCCAAACGCAGCGGGAGATGTATGCTGACGCACGAAATGCGGGCGGCCTCGCCGCGCCCTCCTAACGGCGAGGATGTCTTTACTGACAGGTGCGATTCTACGCCACGCAGGTGAAGCAGAAGCGGAAGAAAACAAAAAACAACAACAAATAAGGAGACGAAGGGGAGGGGGGAAGGGATAAATAGAGAGACCCAAGGAAGGAGCAGCACTGGGAGAGGGAGAGAGTCCTTTTTTTCCCAAAAGAATCGCACACACACAAACAGTTTTGTTTAC